GAGAGAGAGAGAGAGAGAGAGAGAGAGAGAGAGAGAGAGAGAGAGAGAGAGAGAGAGAGAGAGTTAAGCAGAGGAGAAAGAGAAGGGGGTGGGATGAGGTGGGGTGGTGATGTTGTAAAAGCTGTGCAGAAGTGACAGCGCTTAGCGCACCGGCTTTGCTTGAGAGAGATACAATTGTGTGTGACGTGACAAAATGGAAGTGGGAGACGTTTTAAATTGCAACCTTAAATGCTGCAACTTACATATTTTAAGACAGGAAACAAAAGAAAAAAACTGTAGATTTACCAGCAGATGGTAAATATCTAAACGCGGTATTATTATTATTATTATTATTATTATTATTATTATTATTATTATTATTATTATTATTATTATTATTATCATGCACTGTTTTTTCACCGGTAATCAATTAATAAATCCCAATTAAAACCTCATTTTCATTAGAATTATGTGGTACATGTCAAACTCCTAATAACACAAGCTCATTTGCAAATACATTTTAAATATTCTCCAATGTATACATATTTTTGATACATGAAAACTTTAATTAAGAAATAGCATAAAGACCTTTAAAGCCTGTTTTTTAATCCAAATATGCGCTCAAGTCTCGCCCAACAACGACAGCTGTTCATCTGATAGTAACTTCTTTCCAAGATTTTTTTTTCTTCGTCTCCCCCCTCCCGCACCCCCAAGGGGGCCCCCCTTAGTCTCTGTCTTGCTTTGTTGTTTTTAAAATATGCATGTCTCTCCGGAATGCCAGTCACGGGTCCAAACTTTGTGTGTCTCAACCTCCCACATGATGAAATGATCCTTTTAAAGAGGGCTCAATATGTCTCAATCTGCACTCCTCTCCCCTTCTTCTTCCTCTTCTTCTTCTTCTTCGCTAAAAAGCTTTTTGGGTTCAAGACGTAGCCCAGAAATATATATTAATTAGAGCGCAATTTACTGCGGACCCCCCCCCCCCACACCCCCCTACATACACACACCCTCTCTGCCTGAGTTGCGCTGAGGAGGAAGACTGTTGGATCAAGTCAAGCTCTGTCAGCGACGGATGGATGAAGATTCATGGCAGGAAAAGGAGAGAAAACAGTAAGGCATGGTTTCGACTCTCTCTCTCTTTTTCTCTCTGTCAATGATGTGTGTGTTGCGGTGTTCGTGTGTGTTCCTCGGACTGAAACAGATAAAGCCAGGGGGAGTGAGTGAGAAAGGGAGAGGGAAGTGTGAGAGGAAAGGGGGAGGAGGGATATCTATATAAACCTAAAAAGTGAAACAGGATGATTTGGTCTGTTTGTGTGGGTGTACGCGTCTTTCCTTTTTTTTTTTTTTTCTTTGCCTAATCAGCACGTGGCATTAAACTTTTCCTCATGTTGTTCACATGAAGATGATGCATTTACACGTGGAAGAAAGCAGCAGGCAAAGCAAGAAACCAAATGTTTGAGTTTAGAGCAGGGGAGTGCATGAGGGATTTCTGATTCCTTCTGTCAAAGTCTGAGAAGAAATTTATAGGACTGTTTGTGGTGAAGAACTGCTGTTACAAAAGGAAAAGGAGGGGAAAAAAGTTGGTGGTGAGAAATGCAGGAGAAAAAGTTCTGAATGAAGCCTGTTGCTGCAAGCCTCCCAACTACATCCCCTCATCTAAAATAAATAAATAAATAAATAAATAAATAAATAAATAAATAAATAAATAAATAAATAAATAAATAAATAAATAAAGTCAACACACTGGGAGTCATTCGGAGAGCAGCACAAGCAAGCTGAATGTAATGATTGTGTTCATCTATTAAATTCAGACACGTTTTAATAGACATCCCAACAGTTTGATTATGTCAACATATGGGAGGTCGCGCAGCAAGGCCCGGGCTTCACATACCTGATACCGCCTGGGCTTTTCAGCTGTATTTACGGCTTCTCTGTCTAATACACTCCAGATGGCGTGTGTGTTTCCGTATATGTAGCTCTGTGTGTGTGTGTGTGTGTGTGTGTGTGTGTGTGTGTGTGTGTGTGTGTGTGTGACAAAGGCAGTGCCTCAATTCATGGGTTGCGGC